TATAAATAAATTACTTTTGTGCGTGTTTTGTCCTCACACTTCTCTTATATTGAGATTTTAATAAACTACAGCCTTGGCAACTCATCCTCCGGTCAGCAATTAGTTTTGAGCGATTGGAGACCTCAAAAGCGAAAATATATAATGTACCAACACAGGAAATAGTTAAGTAAGTTTTTGCGCCAAGTTTAGAGCCACCAAATCAGTTGTTTGTGTTGTTTGTTTTGGCATAGTATTTGGTTGATGTAATGGCATAACATAACAATTTTTGCCAATAGGCGCATATAGTAGCTTTAATGTGTAACAAAGGTGATACAAAAAATTCTGTGATTAATTGAACAGAAGTGTCTCGCAGTAAATGTTACATATTGGAAAACATTGAGTTATTTCATGAATCGAATTAAAAGAGATCTGGGCTTTAAAATTTACGCAACATCTACAAATACATATGTATATGCAGGCACATTTTTCATGTGTTCGTGCGTGAACATTAGACCGCATTACTGTGCGTCCTTTCCTTTGCCTAAAGTATTTTTGCAAAGGAAATCTAGAAAATGATTTTCTGTAGGGCCGAACTTAAGGCTGGCCTTTTAAAATTTTTTAAATAGTTCTACTGGTATAATCAGATTACTTTCTTAGTAAAAATTCATTGATTTTTGGATAGCTTTACAGGGCAAATCTGGCAACTGTCTTTCAACTCATTATAGACTTTCGAAAAACAAAAGTCTCTTCTGAGGCAATTTAAAATATTTATAATAATAATGTAAGGTATTTGATTAATTACAAAAAAAAAAAATAAATATTAAATAAGAAATAAAATAAGTTGCTAAAATTAAAAAAAAAATGTATTTTTTAAAATAATACGATCTAACAATTAAAAGAAAATTAAATTTTAATAAGAAAAAAGTTAAATTAAAAACGAAGAAATTTTTAATTTCCTAAAAATTAAATAAAATAAAAAAAGTTTTGTTTTTAAAGCAATAAGATCTAAAAAATAAAAAATAAATTATTAATTAATGAAACCAAAAATTTTGTTAGAAAAAGAGAAATTAAGTTCTCTAAAAATTAAATAAATTTCAAAAAATATATATCTTGTAAACAATGAAATCTAAAAATTGACCCAAAAAAGTAAAAAATTTAGATAAGGAAATAAAATATGTTTCTAAAAATTAAAAAATATATTTGTTTCTCTTTAAAACAATAAAAGATATCTTTCATTTTACAACAGTAATCTTACAATTAAAAGAAAATTAAATTAAATAAGAAGGTTAAATTAAAAAAAAATAATAAAAATACAGAATTTTATAAAACTTACATGAAATAAAAATGTATCTCTTTTAAACAGTAAAATTTAAAAGTAAAAAAAATCGAAAATATTTACAAGTAATTAAATTTTCTAAAAATTTAACAAACTTCAAAAGACGTATTTTTTTTAACAATAAAATTTAAAAATAAATGAAAATAAGAAAATTAAATAACATTTAATCAGCAAAAGATTAAATGCCTCTACCCGATGACTCGACCTTGGATCTCTCGAATGACACACCAGTGCCTTGCTCACTCAGCCATTCCGACTATTGGAGCAGCGCGAACAAAATTATATATATATACTTAGAAGAGCTTTGCACCACGTTAGTGGGTAAAAGAGCTTTTTTGGTAATACTTTCGTACCAGAATAAAAACATCTTTCAAACTATCAAGACTATTGTCTTCTAATTGTGACCTTCAACTACCTTATCCAGAAATACTGGCATTAGGGTGTACGTTAGGGTTATAAGAACTGAGATCTGGTGGGTAAGTACTAGAAATAGTTACTTGAGGTCAATGAACTTCAGAATAAATACAATTGTCTTCCCTGGACAAAAGCTTCGATATATCAAGCTTTAAGATCCGACTATAAATGCCGAAGGTATAACGAACAATTAAAAGAGCGATCCCTAAATTCGACCAAAAAATATTTTTTTTCGAAATTGCCTTGAAAAATATCTACGACTTAGAGGTGTACAGCAAACAATTTTTCGGGTATGGTCTAATATACATACATATCTGTATGTTTAGGAGCTACATACATACATATGTTTTTGTACAGACATACATACATATATTTGTGCTCATAGAAACTTCAACTGTTTTTTATTTATTTTTTCCTTTGCTCTTTCCTGGAAACTTCTGCCAAACACTACCATTTCTTCCATTTTATGATTAAAAAATGATTTATTGTCGACCTTGGATTTTGTGTACATACTTATGAACATATGTGCTATATGTATGTAGGACATGCACTCAAGCTGGTTGGTTAACTACCCTGCAAGAAGCAATTGGTTTCAAAAGCTCAGTTTTCCTAGAATAAATAGTTCGGATATAATTTCTAAAGTAAAGCATAGATGGCGAGTTGAGTGTAAAGCTACTATGTATTTATATTGTGCCCAAATTATACTGTTCTAAATATTTCCGGTAGTTCAAATTGTCACTGAATTGCTCTATTTAACTGGTTCCGAAATAGTCCAGGGTTCAAGGTTATGCATTGGGTGCAATTTGCCATAGTCTAAGACAACGCAATGTAAAATTCGCCTATCGTATGCATGCAAAAGGTATTTAACTGAACTGATGGAATTTCTTGCAGGGTAAGTGACATATGAAGTTCGAAAGTAAATTTTGAGTCAAGCGATGAATTTCATACCTTCAGGGTTATTAAAGTTGTTGTGGTGCAAGACAAATTTAAGCAAAATTTACTTGGGAGCTTACTTAAAAAGTATCCACCAGCATGTATGCATACCAGCACAAGAGAAAAGTAGTATTAACAAAAATTGTTTGCTTTTAGGTATTTATAACGTCTGTCCATGCTATACGAGTATGAGACATGAAAATATTATTCATGTAATTATTCAGAATTGCAGTAGCATACTCAGTAGCGGATGAAATACAAAAAAAAAATTTATACGCGATTGTATAAATAATAAAATGGAAATTAAATAAAGCACATTAAAATTGAAGAAATGAGTCGATTATCGGCGCGTAGCGGTAATCCTAAAAGTGGACGCCATTACGGGTTAAAATCAGACATGGATGCCGGAAGTAATCATACCACCTCATTCTGAGATTTCGTTACACGTTTTAAAATTGGAAGGGAATGGTACGAACAGGCAGAAAAAGATGATTTTACCATCTACGCCGAAAGATCTGTTAGCTACATCATCTGCCTGATGTCTATTGGATCTTTTCATCAGAGATTTTTTTCACAGCGAAGTACGTTGTGTAAGCAAAACAGAGTATCGATTAGAAAAAGTCACTATCCTCGACGAAAACCAAGTGAAATGGCAGTGAAGTGCGATTCACATATGCAAAGTTGCGAGGAGAATAACACCCTATAACCACAAACTTGTGGTCTATCGGGTATACCAAAGCCCCCACCAAAGACCTTTAGAACAAAGCGGGTGTGAAGCCTCGAGGTCTTTGTGGCACTCTAAAGCTAAAGAAACTCGAAGTAAGAGGTCTTGTCTCCACAGGATACTGTGGTATTTCAACTACAGAATTCTCAATGCAGAAGCAGTGGAATCGATTGACACAGTGGCTGAAGAACTTGGAGCTTTACCTCTTTACCAGATTGGCAAAGATAACAGGAGTTTGACTTTCGGACCTTTTCAGTTTCATCTGCGACAGTAAGTGGTTTGGAAAGTACTAAAATGGCATTCTTAACTGCCACAATGGGCAAATATGCCTCCAGGTGAAAGTATGTAGACTTCGTAAACGCCTTTTAAGCATAAATCAACTTCCAATTCCTCAAGAATGGAATTGGCCCCTTGTATCAATAGTCGATCATTCATCGTCGCATCGGTCAGCTTCTTAGAAGTTGAAGCAGTGGGTTCAGCAGTCTCTTCAGTGGGATATCAGGCGTCAGTAGCCTCCACACTAGCGAATGCTTTAGAGCTGTATAGAGGGAGTTTCCTCTAGGCTCGAAGTCGTACTGACTACGATTTCTCGTTAGACTTAACGCTAACACCAGTTTTAACGTGCCGCCGTGGGCGGAATTTTTACCCGTACGAAGATCAAGGACTTTGCGATTGGAATGTATTAACAGTCCGGCTCGTTGGTCATCTATTACGACCAAATGGAAAAGGTGACGGAAAAGAGTAGGGCACACACACACACAGTAGGGCGCCACGCTATGGTAAGAACCCTTCTAGTACTAGAGACGGACAACTATCCGAGAGCCTCCGTTAAAATACAGTCGCGTGTCCCTAACTGCAAACCATCCAATCGAAACCGATAGGCATGAAACCATAGATTAGAGGTAAGGATTGATTCGAAGCCCCCGAGATCCATTCTATCTGGTGAAAATTGGGCAATTTCGCGAAGATTGCGTTTCTGCAACGCGCAGTACGGGTTTGATGTACGGCACGCTAGGCAACCAAAAGCTTACGCTGGCTTGTGCACGCTTCATTCACGCCCTATACAATTGCTTAGATTCTTTCGTCGTCACTAATAGCTGTGGTAGGTTCTACCGACTGATTTACCCACAGGCAATATCGCTCCGTTTGTATGATTCCCGACTACATTTCACTTATTGTTCGACTGCTGGATTAAATTTTAAAAGCTAAAAGTTTAAAAATTGATTGGCTCCGAAACATTTAAAAACTGATGAATCCAAAGATTTCCAAATAAATTTTAATGCTCTTAACTCTCTAAAGAAATATTGAGATTTGTGCGTATATCTCTACGACGACTAGCAATGCCATCAGCGTCACATTTACAGCGCAGTAGATGCGTCGCAATGGACGTCGGCGCTGACGCTGATGCTGGCGTTGCCGTTGGCGCCGTTGCTGTTGTCGTCGCAGCAACTGTTGCTGCCAGATTTGTAACTGCAATTGCCGCAGTTCGACATCGTCCGCTGCTCGCGCGTTGTCCGCTTCTTGTCCGATGCCGCTCTCATCGGCGATGCCAGCGCCGAGACCGCTGCCGTCGCTGTTGTTGTCACCATTTGTTCGCGCATTTCCAAAGCAACTACAGCCGCACCCCGGCCAATGTCAAACCGATGCCAACGACGATGTGCTATCGTAGGCGACCAGCAGTGAGTCGTTCTCATCGCTACCGCTCCCGGCGCTACGCTCTGACTCGTTGATCACTTCGAGCCGTGTCTGCGGTTGCGCGATTTTGTACTTTTGATGCCGCTTGTTTATCAGCACTGTGCGTATGTTGTTGTTGCGCAACCGCGATGAGTGCGTATGTGCATGCAGGTGTCCTGAACGATGTGTGCGGTTGCAGGAACGGTTCAGTTGTAGCGATGCGCCAAGCATCATACAATCAGAGCTATCCTCGTCATCATCATCGTAGTAGTAATCATCGTAATAATAATCGTCATCACCACATTCTAACCCTTCGTCGTCATCATCGTCGTCGTAGTCGTCGAAATCGAAGAAACAACAGCCGGTTGGTTTGCGTTCCACATCGGATATGTAGTTGAGCCGGCGGTGTTTACTACTGCTGCCACCATTGCAGTGATGATATGCCGTCGCTGCCGCCGCCGACGTGGTTTTTGCCTGCGTTTGGTAATGGGAGGACATTTGATATGTGTGAGTGCTGGGAAAGCGCGTTTCGACTTGATGAGAGTCGTTGGCGTTATATCTAAGCTCAATTACCTCGGGTCCCTTCCATGTGATGCCCGCACGCACCAAATTGTAAAAACGCATAACACCCCACATGGCAAGAACCTGCAAGTGGAAGAAAAAAGAAGACATTTAGTGAAAAATTTAATATCGAAATCGATTACATTGAACAATATAATTGTAAGTCTTAACAAATAAAGTGCTTGCTATGGTAGAAGCTATTGAAAATAATTTGGTGATAGAGAGATAGGAGGAAGATAAAAATCGACACTACAGTTGCATCCCAAATGTCACTTTCTTTGAGACGATTGTGCAAACCTCTGAAGAGGTTTACTTCTGTGAAGAGCTATTAGGTGCTCGCCAGTAGCTCTCGCTGCCGAAAGCTACCATCGCTATCGAAAGCAATCGAAGTGCCTGAAGACTACCGTAGAACCCTCTGTTGCATTGCCGCGAGCTACCAAACGATCATTGAGTGTATCCAACGGAAATCCCCAGAATTCTCGATGTTGCTCACAGTCAGGGGACGACCTATTAGGGCATCCACCGGCGCTCTCTAGTTGTCTCGATTTTCTGGGAGCTACTGGAAGACCCAACAGTGCATTCAGTGGAGCTCACCTGTAGCCTTGACGCTGCAGGGGTCACAAGAAGACCCCCAATGCATTGACTAGAGCCACGAGTAGCCACGACGTTGCTGAGGGTTATCGCATGATCCTATAGCACATCCATCGGTATTATCTGGTATTCAGACCGTGCCGAAAAGCTCGAGGGATCCCACAGATGAGATCGCCAAATACTTTGAAGGTCTCCGAGGTGCAGTCCTGCATCGTTCAGCTGGCTGGAGATTCGATATAGTGGTTTTGCGGTAAAAGACTATGCACTATGCGGGGGTAGTACCCCCTGATACTGGTAGTAGGATAGTGCTTAATCTTCTTAACCATGCGTCTTTAGCATTCTGCTCACACGGACCCTGGGCTGGCAACAGAATAGAGTTGCAAAATAGATGAATAGCTACTCACTCTTTTAACTGCGCCGTTGATACTTCGGGAGCAAAGTTAGAGGCCAAAGGATGTTAAATATTCGCCTTGGTCATAGCCGCAGCCTTCTTCATCATCTGCCTTCTTTTCTTCGGCTGTCTTAAGTCAGCTTTCTCCACCTTGGAGGATCTTCATTCACATAACTTCTCCGTATCGGTACTATACTTATGCCTGGTAAAACCGTCGTTGGTTCCGTTTCTGATACCAGTGCTAATCTTAAAGACGAAGAAGACCTATCCAAGATTTCCACATCTTTCACAAACTTCCTTTTTCCAACCTGTTTGATAGTAGTAAGCCCTCCACTATATTCGGTAGTAGGCTATCCATCATTTACCAGTAAATTGCTTCCACATAGCCTTGGTTCCAGTTACATACATTGTCCGGGCCGACAACGGTTGACTATGTTACCCTTACCGCCAAAGGTAGGTCATTGCAGTGAAGTATCTCATACCTTCCGAGGCGTAGCGAGCCCGAAGGGCTTTTGGAGTGATCCAGCCTTCCAAATCTTGGCCATCGTTCAAAACATAGATCGAAGCAAAGAAATATAGTACTTTAACTTTCGTAGTTACACCATCATTCGATACTAACGTCTGACAGATATTCAACTAAGTCCTCGGCGGCATCAAGGTGTCACATAGAGAAAGTTTCAATACGAAACCCATAATTTTTCGAACTTTCGAAAGAGTATGTATCCCTACATGCAAACGTTTTTCTAATCTATTTTTATATTTGCAGTAAAAAAGTGGATTTCTCGTGGCCGCAACAGGTGACACTGGCATCAACTGCTGTCAGCAACATAATTTTTCAAAGCAACAGCTTTCGTTTTCTATCATTGCACGCATTTTTTCTTTACGTCCAACATTTTGTTTTTCAAGGCACGTGCTCATTTGAAGAATGCTTGTACATGACCTGCAGAGATAATGAACAGTTACAAACTGGTACGCAGTTGAACTATTTGAGATTGGTTTGCGAATTTTATATAGATTTTGTAAAATTACACGGGTATGCCGGGTAACAAGATCGAAACCACCTTCTTTAACAAGATATTATTTAAAAAGAAATGAAATAGACTTTCATAATATCGATGAAAAATAAAACTAGGAAGTATTAAAATATTTTAAAGCTATAATTTACAAATCTTAAATAATAAGACATAAACTTGGCATTCTTAATAAGATATAAACTTGGCATTCTTTTTGAGAACCTCTTCCTCCATAACGACGCGCACAGTCGAAAAATTGCGCAGCAGACTTTTTATACGGAATATTCTGGGATTTTCGAATTTTTTGAAATTTTGTATTTTTGGGCTTGGAGTATTCATAAACTACGCATCTTTTAAAAAATTACTTAAAAGAGTTTTTTGTAGAATCGGATGCCATTCTTCATTTTTAAATTTTCTGCAGCGACCGAGAGTAAAAGGTATGATCGAAACTAAATATCGTTCTCGTAGTTTTGTTCCCAAGAACGATTCAAAACCGAAAGAAAAACGAGAACAGAACTGTCGAAGACGTTCTCAATGGGAATTATGTAAGAACGAAACCCTGTAAAATGTTCTCAAATAGAACACTCCTAAGAGAGTAAAATGGGAGCAAAAGTCTACGTAACGTTTTAACAAAGAGCCAAACCGTAACAAGCGTCTCCGGGACGTTTCTCTCGTAGAAAAATTTGGGAACTAAATACTCTGGAACTTTCTGACAGATAACGAAAAGGGAGCAAATCTTCTCGGAACTATTCGCGATGAGTGGCGTTCCATTAGTTTGATATATGTGAGTGTTGAAATTAATCAAAAAAGAACTGAAAGATAATTATGCAAATTAGGTCAACGAAAGACTTAAGACACAAACTTTTCTAGCACAGAAAATTAAAAATTGTTCCATAAATGGACAGTTCACCCTAATGATAAACGATCTGGAAGTTGAAAGAATGCAGCATTCCTCTGGCTTAGAATTGACGATAGACGCCCCTCGTTATTAACATTAAGCTGATACCAGCTAAAACACTTGCGTCGCCTTAGGTGCAGCGCGAAGCGAAAAGATGGCCAACTCCCATCTTTTTGCAGGCGCGTTGACCATCAGCTGGTTTAATATTTATTTTATTTCGTTCAAATTCGACGGAAACATGCATACGATTTAATTACATTGCTGATATTCCTAAAACTAAATACATATATAAAATCTACAGCAATTTTCATATATGGCATATATTTTTCGTATTGAGCTTTGCTACTAAATTTATAAATGTCACACAAGTCCACAAAGTTTTATCTGGCTTCAGCTTTTTAGTTTTCGAAGCTTGTTTTCTCGTTTTTATCTCTAGCAGAACATTCCCCAGACTTTAGTTTTTATTTAAGTTAAGTTAAGTTCTTCTTCAGACATACCGAAGCATTCTTTCCATTACCCATTTGCGCACGTAATTAAAAAGCTCTCTATTTAAGATTTTCCCGCAGGGCATTCAATCTCACACCAACGGATGTGTGCTCTTACGTGCGCATGTACTTGTGTCATCGAGTTTCTGCTCGTGTCAGCTACATACGTTTCACGGTAGACTACACAATCTTCCAGTGAAGCATTTACTTCTGACCTTAGCGTATTTGCCGGCTTGACATCACTCAACTAAATCACACTGAGTGTGTATGTTTAATTGTGTTGAGCTCATGTGATATGCGCTCCTCTTTTATATATGTATATAAAATAGTGGAAATGTATGCAAGCGCGTGTCCTTGCTGTCGACAAAGTACAAAGCAATTCATACGAAATGCCAGACGCATATAAAACTATTAGATTGGAGGCTAAAAGAAACTTGTCATAGTGATGCATAATCAAAGAAGATAGAGAGAAAGAGCTTAACGAAACGGCAAGACAGACAACATCAGCAAGCTAGACATACATTTGTAACACGGCGTTTACATGAGACAATTTTTCCAAGGCAATAGCAATATATTGACACTTTTTCGCTAATACACTCACACAAAGACAATTGTCTTCGTCACTGTCTTTGATTTTTCGAAGACAGTGAATTGAACAGTAAAATGGACAATTCCCTTCACGTCCTGGTTAATTCGAGAAAAAGAGGCTAGAAAAAATCGCAGAACTATGAAAAAGTGGTTTGTGTTTGGATATTTTTGTAAATAATATGAAATTTACGCCAAACGACACTAACGGCGGTTGCTGCAAAATGTATTGTCTTTATAATTTCCTGGACGCCCACTTTACACAAAAATTTTACAACTAATACATTTTCTCAATTTTCTTATGTAAACGCGGCGTAAGTATTCAGCATTCTCCTGCTACGACTTAGGTTTATTCAAGGCGGATTATATGTATGTATGCACGCATGAAAGCGAACAAATAAACCACAAGTGACCTATGCATGACAATTGCATTTGACCCATTGCCGCTAGCGAATTACGAGTATGCACTGTATTTGCAGTGTACGGTTAATGCTGCGTATGAAAATGATGGAATTATGTTGGCTGCCTGTGATTTGAACCGCTGCGCGTCTTATGGCATCTTGCTTGTCTTTGTATTTTGCAGATACTTCAAAGCACAGTTTCTTGTTTACCAACTTTTATCATTTTTATAAGACAAAAAAAAAATTAATTTCCCTTCTCGAATTTACCACTTGGTTCTTTTAAGACATGATTGAAAATATAAAGATATGTAGTGAAATATTGATAAATTTAAATTTATTCTTTCTCTCTACATATCGATTGTCCTCTGCCAAAACGGCACATTTAGCGATTCACAAAAATAAACCCCTAACTACTATTAAGTGCCTCATGTCTCTTATCCTTTTCTAATCCATGCCCAATCTTAACGACTTACTTTAGTAAAGATTTGAGATGAATTACGACATGAGACACTCAACAATTTTTTTTTTAAAATTTCGAGTTGTGTTACTGTTACAGCGAACCATCGATATGTATTGGGCAGAGATATAACAGTTATAAGTTTTATCGGAAAAACTTTTTTTTCATAACAGTTATTAGATGAGAAATATTTTTTAATTCTCCGATAAGAGTTATAACCCAGCTTCTACTCCTTACAATGCTTGATAACAGTTATTACCTAA